ACACACATAACACTAACGAACACTGCTGCTGCTGCTGCTGATGATGATTGTGTGCAGATACGATGCATGCTGAACATCTGGGGAGTGATGCTGTTCATCCGGATGTCGTGGATCGTGGGTCAGGCGGGCATCGGTAAGATAACTGACCAACAGAACTGAACCCCGATCAGAAGGAAAGGCCAGTCACAGACTGTGTTTTGTTGTGTTCCTGCAGCTCTGTCCTGCGCCATCGTTCTCATGGCTATCGTGGTGACGACCATCACTGGACTCTCAACATCAGCAATCGCCACCAACGGCTTCGTGCGCGGAGGTCAGTGTATTATTATATTATATTTATAACCATAACTCTATTATGTAAGTTGGAGAGGTACATACTTAATCCTTTAACTGCCATCCGCATTTTTGAAAATTCACGAGAAAGTACACTATCCAAACTTAAATTATTATAATTCATGAACTCTTTTGAATACAGACCTAAGGTTGGTCTCTTTTTAAAGAAGACAATTAGCAGACTATTACAGAAGTGAAATCATTTAATAAAATGAAAGTATTAAAAAGTTATAGAAGTTTAAATTTACTGTAAAGAAAATGTGTTGTACTATTTTTATTTTATTTTACATAAAATAAATATTTAAAAAAATTGTTAAAAATACTAAATTGCTATAAAATTAAAGCCATATGTCTACATAAGTTGTGTTCCAAATTTGAAGTTGATATTAAAAAAAATTGAGGTTCATATGCAATTTTGTTTAGGCGTTGTACCAAAAACAGCCACCGGGTGCCACCCAAACTCCATTGAAAATGTTTTTATGCATTTCTGTCACAAATCTATCAATTTCTCTCTCGTCTATCACAAAATATGGAATCTTGAGACTCAGACCTTTCCAACGATATGAATTTTGTCAAAATTATAAAAAGTTTTGATTCTAAAAGACCGCTAAAGACCGCTAAAAGATTTTGAAATACCATTTCTATGGTAACGCAATGTCCGGTTTCAAAATGGTTTTCACAGGATACATTTTGAGATTTTAAGCTTTCAAATGGTATAAACTTATGAGGATTAATAAAACATGAAATATGGAAAAAGGCAACGAATTAAAGACTTTTTGTGACAAAGGTCAGAACTCCTGTTATAGATTTGTCATAGACTCTTGGTGCACTCTTGTCATAAATTAATATATTACTGTTCCTACATAATTTGTAACAAAATAAAATGGTAAAATATCTATTTAGGAGTCTTAGACCTTAGATGTATTTTTGAGGCTTGATTTTTTTAATGGAATCTACCTGAACAAATCATGAAATATCTCCTAAATGATTTAATCTATGACACAATGAATTTAATATTATTAGTCAAATGTTCTAATTTATTTTAAGTTGATTCTCAAATGTCTGTGATTTCGAGTAAGGCCTGTTAATTTTTTTAAATGAAAATTACAAGACCCATGATTTATTTTTCGAATAGCAAGAGAAGATATGTTAAGTTATTTTTTATTTTGTTCGAATATATATATATATATATATATAAAATTACATTTATCATGAACTTTATCCAAATATTGTCCGATCCTAACAAACCATACATCAATGGAAAGCTATTTATTCAGCTTCTTTCAGATGATGCATAAATCTCAATTTAAAAAAATTTACGCTTATGACTGGTTTTGTGCTCCAGGGTCACAAATCAGGATTAGTCATCAAATAATGTCACGCTTGTGAAAATGGGCTGAGAATTGATCAAATAGTGATAATCTGGCTCAGATTCAGACTGAAATCATGTGTTTGTGGTGTTTTTCTGCTGATTAATGGAGGATACAAGAATAATTCACCACATAAATGATTGTAAAAGCAAAAATGCTATGAAATGCATAATATTTAATGAGAAAGTGTGACGTGCAAAACAGACACTACTTTTGGAATCAGCTGCACAAAATTAGTGTTGGATTTCATTCAGCGGATATGATGCAGGTCGGTGTTATTTCTGCAGATATTGTAAGTCACGTGATGTCTTTGACAGGCCCAGATTGTGTTAATGGTGATTCTTGTGGCAGCTTTAGTGTGAAGAACCGTTTGAATCCTCTATGAAGAACCGTTAGTTCATTTGGATGTTAAAGGTTCTTCATGGAACATTGATGCCAATAAAGAAGCTTTATTTTCAAGAGTGCATTTGAGTTCTGCTGGATTTTGGCGGTCATCACAGCTGATTTGGTCTCTCTAGGATCCGCAGTCAGCGATTCCGAAAGGAACTCTCCTGGCGATCCTCATAACCGGAGTGGTTTACATCGCTGTGGCCATCTCGAACGGTATTTGAGTGCCGTTCTTTCTCTGATTGTTGTCGACTCGTGCATCAGCGGTGATGTTTTGCGTTCACTGTGCTTGCAGGCTCGTGTATCGTGCGGGACGCCACAGGCGATGATAACGACACCATGGTGGGCTCACTGGAGAACTGCACCGACGCCGCATGCACGCTGGGATACGACTTCTCCATCTGCAAAGAGGGCGGCTGCAAGTACGGCCTTCTGAACGACTTCCAGGTGTGTGACAGCAACTGCAGGGACCAGATGTGCTCACAGTTATCATTATTATGTTGGAACGCATATGATGATGTTCAGTGTTACTTTTAAAAGTAATGCGTTACAATATTGCGTTACTCCCTAAAAAAGTAAAGAATTACTTTTTATGGAAAGTAATGTGTTTTGTTACTTTTGCGTTACTTTTTCTCATCTGGGCTGGGCTTGCTTGTTTGTTTTTAATATAAAAAAGTTATATTTTTGGCAAATGTATAAAATCGTGAAGCGTGAAGCGTGTAGGGGTCAAAAAAACTCTTTTTTTTGGAACGCACTTCTGCGTCATCTTAACGGTTGACCTCCAATCGTCTTTTACGTTAAATATAATGTATATTTGTATATGTAATGTAATATGTATTTGTAATGTATATTGTGTCTATGTATTTGAAACATTTGAATGGACTGATAAAGGTAGCTGTAAAGTATTTTTGTTAAAGTACAATGTAGTTTTGACCATAATAATGCACCAAATCTAACTTGTATAAATATTACAGTAGTATAGAAAAATGCTATACATACATTTATAGGCGAAGTCGAACTCTGTGACGCCAAACAACTTCCCTGTGCAAAGGATCATGGGAGCCCGAAGTGTCCATTGGAGGGCGATATATCGTGTTTGGAATAGTGTTAATTTCGTTAACGAAAACTATGACGAAAAATGTGCGTTGACGAGCTTTTTTACCATGACGAGACGAAGACAGTTTCTTCGTCATCTTAGGTCATTCGGAGTAAGACAGCAGATTCTTCTGTTGTTCTTTATGTCTGTGATAATGAGTGTACTGCAATACTGCAACTCCATTTGGTATAAGAGTTTGTCTGTTATGCTAAAAACAAAGTTGTTCAATCAAATTAAAAATTTGCTCAAGGATTGTTGGTCAGCCCCTTGAGTAGCTATATGATTCAGCTTATTATGATAATTTGTTAAGACTGGCTAATAATATAGTTTCTGATCCTAATCATGTCCTGCATAATGAGTTTGAATTATTACCATCAAACCAGAGGTACAGAGTCCCAGGATTCAACAAAGTTAGGCTGAAACACTCTTCTGTGCATCAGGCGATCCTAGAGTTGAATAAGACACTTAATCAAAAATCAAGAGTATTGTGAACATGGTGTAGTTGTATAAGTGTAGTAGGAGGGTAAGGTATAATGTAATGTTTAAGGGAG